TCAGCTAACACTAGAAAGGCCTAAAATTTTTATTTTTTTTTATTTTAACGAAACTAAGAATAAGAACTTCAGAGCGATGAGGGTGGCGAATTTTCCAAATAAAGTTTTATAAACTTTTGCTCGCTGGTCGTTTTTTTAAGATAATCTTAATTACCTTCGCTAAAAGACTTAATAAAATTATCTGGTTTTTGTGGCAAACTCTAAACTAAAGAAGGGTTTCTAAAATTCCCTACAAAGCGATGAATGAGTATAATTTTGTAACAAAACAAAACAAAAAATAACAATTTTTTTGCGCTTTTGATTAAAAACTTTTAGTTTTGTAATCGGTTTTTGGGAAAACATTTTTAAACTGAGAAAATTATTTTCGGGAAAAACCGGAGAAATTTATTTTCTTTTTCGTCCCGAATTCGACACTGAAAAAAGTTTTAGTAAAATTCCTACAAAGCTCTAAATTTATCTTTTAATTTTTCGCGTAAAAGACTTCCAGATTGCCCGCATTTTTAAGTGAAACTTTTCAAAATAGAGCGTTTTTTTAGTAGAAAGTAAAGCAAGAAAAAAAATCAGTCAAAACTAAAAGACCATTTTTGAACAAACTCTACAGTCTCCAGAGGGATGGTGGTGACGAGTTTCCAAATAATGTATTATAAACTTAGGTAATTCTGTTCGTTTTTTGATAAAAAAATTATTTGATTTTTGGGCAAAATTTGAAACTGGAAGCGTATTTATAAACTTTTTGCAAAGCGAAGAAGGAGGCAAGTGTTTTAGTAAAATGTATTTGATTATTTCACTCATCCATAGCAACGCCATAGGGCAAAAAAGGTATTAAGTTTGAAGTGTGCAATTATCGAAAAATTACAGCGGTAATTGCACAGTGTGCAATTATCACTCAACGATAATTGCATTGTTTACAAAAAAATATTTGACAGGTGTCTTTTCATGTTGAATTAGACATCAAATGTCTTCTTGACATACCTAAGATATTCAAATTAAATTTAATAAACAGAAGTAATAAAAT